TGTGCAAAGTCTTCAATATGCCAAACAGCTACTAGGCAGCAGTAGTAAGGAGTGGAACTCCCAGATATTACAGCAATGGCTCTTTAGATAACTATTTTCTGTACTATACTATACTGAAGGAGGCAGTGCTAAACACATATATAGAGTGCCTGTTATCTTGAAATCCTTTCAATAGTGAGGGAGAGTGAGACTCCTGAACTGGAAGGTCCTCAACCAGTTACTGGGGTAGAGCACAAAACAAGTATGAGTAGTGCTGTGTCTAAGGAAGCAACTGGACTCAAGCCATAAGGATGTGCACCTACTGACATGTAAAGAAGTGAAATAATAGTCGGAAGCTGCACAATGACCCAGAGCAGGCTAGCTGATGATGAGAGAACTGGGTGGTCTCTTTTTCACCATATGCTGAAGCCAATGTGATGTAAAACAGCAACAACAACTGCTTTCAGGATCCATCAATGCCTCATTAGAAAAAAAGTTCATATTATGAGGAAGAAGATATAGGGCAAATAGCCCAGAAAATAATAGAGGATGGTGCTCCTTAAACTATTTATTGTGTAGAGACAAACCCGTCATTGGGGGGCTTTGGGGAGGTTGTGCACAAATATACTATCTTTTCTGTATATAAAAAAGTGTAAACTATGCTCATGAGTGTTTCTCCACAGAATAATTATTCTGCAAGATTTCAGGACATTTGACTAGCAGGGGAGTATTACACCAAGTTTTCTGGCTTACTTTTGTCAAGAAACCCATTTTTCAACCTGGGAAAGGATAATTGTGAACAGTCATTCCATCCTACCTATTCCCTCAATTTGAAAAGCATTAAAGGGATGTGGAATCTAGTACTCCATCTTTCCAAGTGTGCATTGGCTACAGGGATTATGCAACTTTTGTAAAAGAATTAAGTGCTGCATTGAGACTCCTGGGCTGCTGTGGTCTTTGGACTTTGGGCACAAAAACCTGCAGCGCATTATGTTCAAGTATCTTTACTGTTTTAGCTGATGCTTATTTGGCTTATTTGGTTGACTTCTGAGTCTATTACTTTCTTAGTCTCATTATTGTCTTTCCAGGTCGCAAGTGACAGATAGTAGAAGGGTCTACATTTGCTCTACCCAATACCATGGCCATTATGCTTCAGCAGGAACTCATTTGTTTTCCTCAGAAGCCTGGGGATCACAACCAGACATCTACTCTTGTGCTTTGCTACTCTGCTGCTGAGTACGCATGCCCAGTGTGGAACACATCTCACCATGCTAAAACAGTGGCTGTGGCTCTTAATGAAACATACCGCATTATCACAGGATGTCTATGCCCTACACCACTGGAGAAATTATACTGTTTAGCTGATATTGCACCACCTGATATCCTCCAGGAAGTAGCAGCCAATAATGAAAGGACCAAGGCAGTGACATCTTTGGATATCAATCAGCATGCCAATGATATATCTTTCATTGAAATCAAGAAATAGCTTTCTAAGATACTCGCAGGAACACCTCAGCAAGCAAGAGTCCAAAAGTGGCAGGCTAAAACATGGAACCTGGAGCCATTTATTTATTTATTTACAGTATTTATATTCCACTCTTCTCACCACACAGGGGACTCAGGGTGGATTACAATGCACATATACATGGCAAACATTCAATGCTATGGGAGTGTAACTTTTATATAGACAGATATAAAGGCAATTTAACAATCCAGCTTTCCCGGCTTCATGAGGGTATGCTCGATTCTGGCCACAGGGGGAGCTGTGGCTTCAGCGTCCACTTGTAACACCGAGTCCTTGATGGTGTACTTTCCCATTCTTACACACGCTGCTAGATTTTATGGTGTTGTAAATTAGTTAAATTATCATCCCTGCATAAAGTGGTACTAAATTTCCTACTTGATGGATGCAACTGTCTTTTGGGCTGCATAGGTCAACAGCAAGCTAGATTATTAATGGTCGGCAGCTTACTCTGGCTTCGAACTCATGACCTCTCACTCAGTCGTGATTTAATGCAGCTGGCTACTAACTAGCTGTGCCACAGCCATCGCTGATACCAAATGAGAGATTCTCCCCTGATCACACAGAAGACTGGGCAACTTGGAAGGCGCTGAACAGACTGTGCTCTGGCACCACGAGATGCAGAGCAAACCTTAAGAAATAGGTCCACAAAGTGGAGTCCACAACATGCAAGTGTGGAGTGTGGAGAAGAGCAAACCTATTACAATGGAGTCTGAGCCCTGCCACATGCACAGTGGAGGACCTCCTTATAGTAACACCAGAGGTACTCCAAGTGGCCAGCTACTGGTCAAAGGACATTTAATATAATGCCAAGTTTTTTTAACTTTGTGTTTTTAAAATACATTACAACTGTACCCTTGGTTCGCTTCTAATATGATAAATAAATAAATCCTCAGAAACCTTTGATAGCTCACTAAGGTCAGTTGTGGCTGGTGGTTTCCATCCATGGGGTTTAGTTGAAAGTTGAAATTGCACCTACATGGGGGATAGGAGTTGACACCTTGGGAAGATCTTTTAAATATCTGATTAAAACCCAGAATGGATTTGTTGGCCTCTTGATAGGGAGTTCCCTCAGTTGTCTTTGAGTTAATAAAGAGATGAAACTGTCTGTTGGACTGCAGTTCCTGTTTGGCCATGGAAACCCACCACATGACCTTGGGCATGTCAAACTCTTTCAGTCTTAGAATAAGGAAAGGCAACCCCCACCTTACCCCCCGAATAAATCTTGCCAAGAGAAACTCCTGCCTTGGGCTCTTCATGATTTGGAAACAACTTGAAGGCACATAATAGCAGCAACGTTCAGGCCAAGTGTAGAAATTTCAGGATAGACACTATGCTTATTTCTCTTGAATTTCCAGAAGTCTGTAGGCTTTCAAACTGGGAGATGTGGATTTCAGGCTTATAAAGAAGTGAATAAGGGGATGGGGTCTTCATAGCACCCCTTCCCAGATACAAATTTCTTCTTCACCTGCGTCTGCTCACTCACATTTGAACATAATTATATCTTTCTAAAATAATTCAAAACATATAAATAAAACCAGGAAGCTAATTTGTGGCATACAAACATCTTTATTAGGAAACACAGAGATCATTTTCTTTTAACTTAAGATCACTAGTATCAAAAAAAGGAGTAAAAACACAATATTTCCCAGTATAGCTATACATTAATTACAAAATACGTACATCCAATATTATTGATACCTCTAAGTGAATAGGCATTTAGCATATGATCAATATTTTGTTTTTATTGCAGTAGATAGAGTCAATATGTTTAATCTGAATTCTCACACATATGTGCATTGGCGCTGCCTTCCAACAGTCCTCCTGTTGCTCGAGCACTGAGCCTGTATCTGTAGTGTGTTACTTATTTTGAGGTATTAGGTACGTAGCCTATAGAATCTACATATATAGGCATCTTCCCTTCCCTACCACCATGGCTGGCCAATGCCGGCCAATGCCTGGGTCCTTTGGTTCACAGCAAATCAGATTCACCCCTTTCTTTGCCCCCTCCCCCAATTTGTGTCTTTTTGTCACATGCTTGAAACTGAGCACGTTGCTTAAATACATTGTCCAAAACATGTTTTGTATGCATTTGAAACACATCTATGTTTCTTTGCATACTTTTCAAATGTGCACAGTCTTTTCCATCGTCAGCATAAGAATTCCACCATGTGGACAGTCTGGAAAGTGCAGATGAAGACAAACTAGTCAAAGCTTGGGCTGAAAATTAAATTATTCACACATTCTAGAGGCAGAGGCAGGAGATATGGAACAACAAAAGAACAACCTTGCTGCAGGGGAAAACCTGCTTCCATCTCTTTCTCTCCATCTCTAAAGTAAACAAAACATTCAAGCATACCTTCAAGATACCACCACCAACAACATTGTTTAGTAATATGCCATGGGGAAAAGAGCATTTGTGTGCATTCACCATTTTAAAATGGCTAAAGGAGCAACCATGCTATATTAAAGGAAAAGATTCACCCTCCGCCCGTGTACGCTGCCATATAATGCAGTTCAATGTAGTTAAACTGCTTTATGAAACTGCATTATATGGCAGTGTAGATGGGGTGCTTGAAAAGGACAAAATGTGGATGCACCATGTCTTATTTCATATCAAAACAGCACCTGTAAAAAGGAGAGGAAGAAATATATGGTTTTTCATGATGTCACAGGCATTAACTGATGTCTAGGGATAATAAAGGAACATATGAATTTTAATTTCATAGGCATTCCTCAATGATGGAACAGAAAATGTATTTATGCATCTCTCTAGCCTAATGAGCTGTTTCTTAAATGGAGACAACACAAAATAAGGTATGGTTTAGAGTGCAGAGGATTTGTACAGGAGAGGACGGTCTCTGAACTCAGGAGTCATTCTCCAAAAATTGCTGAGCAACAATCAACTGTAGCTGTGAGGGATGATGGACATTGCAGTCCAATAATTTCTGAAAGACCACAATTGCTCCTCCCTTGCTTTTAGTAGCTAAAGAAAGTGTGCAGCTACATCAGTGATATCCTACATATCCATAGACTTTTTGTTCTTGTTACCAATAGCACTGTGCAAAATATACATGTAACAAACCATAGTAAGATTTCACTGCTAATGGTGGGAACAGTTCACTGATGGCTTACACTGTTATTAAAACAGTTTCAGCCTTTCTCGATATATATCAGTTTTGCAGGCAATGCAAAAATGCCCTCCTGAAACTGATTTTGCCATTCCAATTCTTCCATGTGGAGTCTTCCTAATTTTGTTCTCAGTGGCATTAGGTGGCAACTCTAGTTTCTAATTCGCAATATTCTTGATAAATAATGTTTATCATTTTATTGCTGACACAATACATACATTTTTAAGAGCTCTCAAAACATTGCATCAGATTTTAATACATTTAATATCCATCCTGGCAATCATTATCATCATAATCACTTAATGGTTTGTTGTGATCAATATCGAACATTAACTTTCGGCTTTCAAGCTCCATGCTTCTCGACCAACTGTCATCTTCTATACTCGCCGTGTCCTCTCTAGAGTGACTATCTCTTTCTATGGAATGACTGTTGTCTTCTTCTGTGGATTCACTGGTTTGGGCCGATTGGTTCTGTTCCTCAGATTTAAGATCCTTGTCATATGAATCACTGTCTTCACTACTGGTGCTTTCGTGGGAAGCTTTGCTGCTCTCAGATGAGGTACTGTGAGACAACCGGCTGTCAGTCTGAATTGATTCATCTGTGTCCTCAGAAGTTTCTTCACTGTCTTCAGTAGAAACACTTTTCTCACTAGAGCTGCTGTGTTCTCGCTTAACCTCTCCAGATTCACTGCCTCTTGGTGCCCTATTGGATACATCTTCAATGGAGTAACTTCTCTGCTGTTTAGATTTGCCAGTGCTATACTCATTTGATTTCTCGCTTAATTCTTTGGACTTTTTCACAACTTTTTTATAGGAGCCCCTACTGTCTTCAGTAGAGTCACTTTTAATGTCTTCCATAGACACTGTATCATCATCCTCTCTAGATGGACTATTCTCATCTTCTCTAGATTGGCTAACCAAACTAGTTTCTCTGGATTGGCTGTGTGCATCACCTTCTCTGGACCAGCTGTGGTTGTCATCTTCCCTGGACCAACTATGCTTATTCTCTTCCCTAGACTGGCTGTGTTTATGGTCTTCCTTGGAATGGCTGTGGACATCTTCCCTGGAATGGCTGTGAAGGTATTCCCGAGATTGGCTGTGCTTATTATCTTCCCTGGACCGGCTGTGTCTATCATCTTCTCTGGACCGACTGTGCCTACCATCTTCTCTGGACTGACTCTGCCTACCATCTTCTCTGGACCAGCTGTGTCTGTCATCTTCTTGGGAATGGCTGTGTCTGTCATCTTCTTGGGATCGGCTGTGTCTGTCATCTTCTTGGGATTGACTGTGTCTGTCATCTTCTTGGGACTGGCTGTGTCTGTCATCTTCTTGGGACTGGCTGTGTCTGTCATCTTCTCTGGAACGACTGTGACTATGTTCCCTGGAACGGCTTTTAAAAGTCTCTTTAGACTGACTGTGACTACGGCCTCTGGATGAACTTTTTACCATCTCTTTGGATTGACTGGTTCCATCTTCCCTGGATCTACTGAGAACATTTTCTGTTGACTGACTAGTCTCCTCAACAGATTGGCTGCTTTCTTCAGAGACAACATCATCCTCTTGCTGGGATTTGCTCTCCTCCTGTTCAGGACTCTGGTCTTCTTCAGAATCAGCATCAACATAATGGTATACTTTCCGAGCAAACCGATCTATTGCTTTGCTGTGATGTTTAACTTTCCCTCTTCTGCTTTCTTGGCTGCTTTCTTTTGAATTAAAATCTCCATAGAGCATGTCAGAGTCGGCATCATGACTCTCGAAGAAAGTTGCATCATCCCCTTGCATTCCTTCATCATCAAAATAGTACCTGTCTTCTTGGCTGCTGCTGTAACTGTCTGCTCTATGTCTTCTGCGGTAATCAGCTATATGATTGTCCTCTTTATCAAGACTTCTGCTCTCACTACTGCTACTGCTGCTGCTACTGTCACGAGGTTGTCGGCTGATAGTGTTGTCTTCTTCTTGGTCTCCCTTTTCTACAGCTGTTTGTGGATTGTCTCCTTCACTTGGAAGTACGGTGTGACCAAGATCTTCATTGTGTTCATTGAAGGAGTCATCACCACTGATTTCTTCATCATTTGTGAGATCACTTCCACCATTCCCCGTGAAGGTAAATAATACTTGTTCAGGAGTATAAAGCATGCCATCATTTTCAACATCGAAGAGTTCTTTGGATTTTGTGATATCACCGTAAAGATTGTCTTGATGAATTTCATTCTGATTCTCCTGTGCAAGAAGATAAATAGAGAAGAAAAACCAAGCTGTTACTCTTCCTCACAGTATAAACTGTTTTTAATATCCCTCCTACAACAGCATACGGCATCTTATTGCTACATTTGTGAAATCTTTCTGTATCTTACACCACTTTTTCAGCATAGAAGTAGTCCCCAAAGTACTGAACATAAAATACATCTCAAAGTTCCTCTTTCTTTCAAAGTGTTGTTGCTAAACCATTCCTTCCTATCAAGGTGTTTCCTTATGGAGACTCTAAGATGAAACTTTCATGTGGATTTCTGGGGCTGAAAGTGTGTGGCATGCTCAAGATCAGTCAGTGGGTTTCATGTCTGAGTGGGGAATCAAGCCCTGTCTCTAGAGTCATAGTCAATGTTCAAACCATTTCAACATGCTGGCTCTGCTATTAAATTGCACCTGATGCATTGGGAATTGTACAGATTTCTGAATTCTGGACATGCAATATTTGCAACACTTTTACTTCCTACATTTCTCTACAATACTTTTTTTTACTGACATGTGCATTAGTGATATGTCCATGGGTAAGAGAAGAACCACTCCTCAAATAACCAAATTGTAGAAATCACAAGAAGGCATAGACTCAGTTGCTAATCACATCTATAGAAGCACTGATGTTTATAAAAGGTTTGACTTACTATTCAGAAATTGGTTCAAAGAGTCAATTGATATTGAGACTGGCAACTGGATCTAAGCCTTGTTGGTTTTATTGGTATAAATGTATATGACAGTAACACACGAAGGAAGAACCAAATGATATTAAAATGGGGCAAAATGCTGAAATTCTGGAATTCTTGGAAAATCTCCAAAGCCTTTTCTAACATTGTTGAATAAAGGACACTCAAATAGAAAACAAAGAATGAGTCTACAACACTGAAATCACCCATGGATTATGCAATTGGGCTGTGTGTGTGTGTGTGCTGCATGACTTCAACTTATTTCTGACTTGTAAGGACACTAAAGTAACCTTATCATGATATTTTCTTGGCAAGATTTGTTCAAAGGGGGGTGCCTTGACTTATCTGTTAGAGTGTGTGACTACCTCCATCCAAAACCTCTGCATGTTTGTTACTCATGTTGAGAAGAAACCACTGTAGCAGTTCCTCCTGAGATGCCTGAATTTGATGTTTACACAAGGGATTGGCAAATCCAACTACATGAGAATAACTCTACTAACTTATTCAAAGACTCAAGTTAAACCAATACTGCAACAGGAGGAAATCATTCCATTCTTATAGTGAATTATTTGGGATGCCTCTAGAGCAGTGGTTCTCAACCTGTGGGTCACCACATGTTTTGGCCTACAACTCCCAGAAATCCCAGCCAGTTTACCAGCTGTTTGGATTTCTGGGAGTTGAAGGCCAAAACATCTGGGGACCCACAGGTTGAGAACCACTGCTCTAGAACCATTTGTGTTTCTTAGAAGATACTGAACTGTCAGGTACTGAAATGATGGATGAACAATTGCATCTACTTCTATTTCAGGTTTTATACAGGAATGTTTTTAATACCTACCAGAGAAATTTTGTCAACAATCTGATCATCAGAGGTGTCCTCGTTCATTTGTTTCAGATCAGAATGTTCATGAGAATCAGCATCATCTGCCCAATTCCTATGGATCACTTGGTGGACTCTGAAATAATTATCATCATCATTGTCACGGGTGCTCCAGTCATGGTTATCTATTGGGTAGCTCTCAAAACTACCACTGGAAACCTTTCGGAGAAAAGTGTCGCCTTCACTGTTCTCATGGCTGGTGCTCACATGTTCTTCACTTTTGCTTTGCCTGCTCCCTCTGTCTTCATCGCTCACATCTGCAGAATCAGCTATATAGTTCAGGTTCCTCTCACCTATGGTATCCTATGCAAAGGAATGAAATGAAAGCACATTAAGGAAAGCTACAACTGACATGACAGCAAACAATCAAATCATATCAGATCTCACAACAGTGAGATTTTGATTGTGCAATGTGTGATTTGTCATCTACACATTGCACAATATCACTTAACATTTCACTGCTGAAGATTAGGACATACAAACGTTTCTAATGAGAAATAATGCACACTGTAGAAGAGACTGCACACTTTCTCAGCCCCAGAGGAAGGCAAAAGCAGATGCCTCTGAACAAATCTTGCCAAGAAAACCCCATGAAAAAATTGCCTTAGAGTTGCTGTAAATCAGAAATGACAAGAAGATATAGAATAACAATGATTGGTAAACCGGCATTGAAATAGGCCTTTCTATATTTGGACAGAAGTATGATGCATTTATGCCTTGTGTTTTTTAAAAATTACATATATATATATATATATATATATATATATATATATATATATATGGATAGAGAGCAGGTAGGGCTTCTAATGGGGAAGAGGTATCGTGTTTTTATTTTGTCATTTTTATTTTCTTATAATGCTAATTTAACTTGTGTTTTTAACTTACATTTTGAAATCAAAGATAGTTTAATTGTATTTAAACTTTTATTTTGAGAGTTCTTTTAATACTATAGTGTTTTAAGGTGTTATGTTCTGTTTTGGGTTTCATACCAGGTGAAAGGAGATAAAAATTAAACAAACAATAAATAATAATACTATCAATAGTAGCTGGCGATGTTCATGTCAATGGTACAATGAATAGCCTGTGGATTTTAGTCAGAACTTTATTGGAGCCATCCAAGTTATTGAACGTGTTTTTGGGTTTGACATATTGGATGGCTCCCTTAAAGTTCTGACCAAAATACAGTAGATTCTCTGTACCGCTGACATCCAAGCCAGCAACCTCTCCTTTTGTATTTTTTTCTTGCTGTTGACATTTAAGATCATTTCGTGACAATAATTTGGTACAGCAAAATCAAGATGGTCTGCTTACCCAATGTTCTTCAGAGCTCATGTGATGTGCACCATGGTGTCTGGACACCTAGAATAATTACAAAGAGAGACTGTGAATGTAGGCCTGAAGGTATACTGCCACAGAAACTCTTGAGACGAAAGTTAGCTATGCCCAACCCAACCAAACTCAATCCAACCCAACCCAACTGCTTTTGCATCCTTTTGATTCAGAAGAAAAGCAAAAAAAGCCCATGCATGCCACCTAGAAGCTAGTCATAGTTTCCATGCTATTTTTTAAAAAAAATACTTACAGGACGAGCCTGGGATAAAGCCCACAGGGAGATAAATAAAAGACTGGTCCTCTTTGTATGCATCGTAGTACCTATAACGAGATCAAAACAAGAGAGTTAAAACAGAAAAGTAAGCAATAATTAAAAATATCATAAATCAGGGGTGGGAACCATGTGGACAAATGTTGGTGGACATCAGCTCCCAATATTTTTCACCACTTGCTTATGCTGGTAAGGGTTGCTGAGATTTGCAGTCCAACAAAAAATGAGAGCTGAACAATTTCCATCCTTGGCATAGGTGAACTCCGGTTTACCGGAGGTTTTTGAAAAGCCAGATTTGGAAAGCCAATGCACAACTTTACTTTGTTAATTTGCAGGTGTATCTCTAGAAACAAAGCCTCTGACAAAGAAACTTCTTTTTGGCAAGTTTTTTTTTACACCAATTCATTTCTTCTTTCCTTCTTGTCCAGTGGCTAGATCAGTGGTTCTCAACCTTTTTTTGACCAGGGACCACTTGACCACGAACCACATGACCAGGGACCACTCTCCAACATTAGTATCAAAAGGGTTACAAATCAGTTTTTGGTCAACTTTAGATTCAATTTGATTATTTGGGGTGCTGATTCAGAAAATTGCATTGCAGAAAATTGCTGCTCCGTGACTCTTCTCTGCCCTGGCCTGGGAAGCTTCCCAAGGCTGAGAAAGTGCTGGGAAGGGCAAGGGCAATACACTGGCTCTCCTTCCTTACTTCTTTTTCTCCCTCTCCTTCTCTCTCTCGCTCTCCTCCAACGGCAGCACACACCCCCATGCCAATTTTCCCCGCATGTCTCACAGCCTTTATTTTAGCTCTTGTGGTCTACCAGTAGGCCACAGCCCACAGGATGGGAACCACTGGTCTTGATGGAGGGTTTTTTTCATAGTAGCATCAACACTGGGAGATGTTTAAGGAGGGCTGGAGAACCAGATTTTTAGTGCCAGTTTGCAACCATGTGTCTGGGGTAAATAATGTGTTAAGGACTGAACTGGGCACAAATGGCATTCAGCTCTAGCTGATCCTATGGTAGCCACATCTGCCTGTTTAGAACAGACAAGGCATACAATAACTGTTTCCAAAATCCCATACTGAGTGTATGTGAACATCAAAACACAGAGAAAAGAGGAAAGCAGATTGGCCTGCCTCACCAGTTGACCCCAGCATTCTAAAAAGTCTATGATCCCCAAAGGGAAAATAACATGGAAAGAAGAGGGTTGGATTCCTTCATCATCATGTTTCAGCAAACATTTTGTTCAAAGCTAATGATATGCTTATGTGAAATGAACCAATTAAGTCAGATAAGCTAGGCATAAGTAAATAAAACAAAACAACCACAAAAACTGAATTTTCTAGAGATCACCTGTTTTGGTTTAAGGTGCCCCTTAATGAGGATAAGGTTGCCACCAGCCAGGCATGTAGCCGGGGGGGGGGGGGGGAGCCACGATATTCTCATGGTGGTCCACGAGAAGGTCTTACTAGTATATTATTTAAACTGTTATGTTTATTCATATCATGATCTGATCACCATGCTCAATATATCCCATATGCATGGGGGTATTGGGGTAACAATACAAAAGGTTTGCTAGGGTAGACCCTCTTTCACTCAGACTCAGCCCCCTCCGAATCAAACTCAGCTCCCCCCGAAACAAAATCCTGGCTACGGGCCTGCCACCAGCGGTTATTGAATGCCATCTGCTATATTTCTCATTTGTGCAGTAGAACCTGGCATTAATCTTCTGTTATAGTAATCAGAATAGGCAGACATTTATTTTCATCTGATTAAAACAAAGAACCAATTCACACTATGAAATTATATTGCTATCATTCCACTTTATTTCCCATGTTTCTGTCCTATGGAATCCTGGGATTTTCAGTTTTGGGTGGAGCATTTAGAATTTGATGCAACAGACTACAAATCCCAGGATTCTATAGGATGGAACCATGGTAGTTAAAGTGGAATAATAGAGCTATTAAAATGTAGTGTGGGTGGGCCTCAATCAACAGTATTTTTACAAGGATGCTTCATATATCTGGATGGAAATAATCAGAATTACAAATTAACTGATGGCACAATATCAAAAGATAAATGTATACACATGAATCAGCAATAAGTTCAGCCATGTTCTTCAATCAGAGGGCATAAAACCTGAAAAAATGCACATTATAAGCAGTGCTCACACTTCTACATTAGAGGTACAAATCCCCTTATTCATTATTGTTGTGTGCATTCAAATTGGTATTTCTTTTCATTTCTTTAAAACCAGCATGCCGGTGAACAATTTTAATTATCAATTCCCTTACCAATAAAAAGGATCTTTCAAATTCAATATTTCACTTGGCATTATGTAAGGGCCCAAATAACCTACAGGTACTAGGTCCTATCTGATCTTGGAAGTTAAAGAGGGTAGTTGGATGGAAGATCACTAATTCATACCAGGTTCTGTGTGCTCTATTTCACTGGAAGGAAATGGCAAAACCACCCCTGAATATTCCTTGCCAGAGAAAACCCTATGAAACCCATGAGGTGACCATAAATTGACTTGAAGACCCATTTACATATTCGAAGGACCAAATAATAATGATAATGATCTAACATTTTCATTCTTCAGCACTCAAAGGTTGCATCTACACTAGAATTAATGCTATTTGGTGCCAATTTAACTGTCATAGTTCAATGATATTGAATCCTAGCCATTGTAGTTGAGAGAGTTTGGCAAAGAAGGCTAAAAACATTGTAAAGCTATGGCTCAACAATTCCATATCGTTGACCCATGGCAGTTAAAGTCATATCAAACTGGATTAATTCTACAGTGTAGATGCACCCAATGCACATCTTATTTGTTAGGACTTCTTATCAATACAATGCCAAGAAGTAGGTACTACTCATGCTGGCTTGCATACATATAAACAACAGGACAAGGAAAATAATTTAAGTTTTACCTGCAATTTTAGGTTTCCTCCAGGGAATTTTGAATATTGCTCCACCACTGTAGATAAATGTTGCACCTGATTCTCAATAAGCACTTTTTGGCATTTTGAGTGAAAGTGCATGAATTTAAACTCTGCTTCAGTTCAGAAGGGAGCCAATCAACAGCCGGGAGGAAGAAGATGACGTCAGAAGGTGTCACCAGCCCTCCATCCTGCCTACACTTCCCTTCTGCCTCCAGATGCATATTTTCCCCTAAAAATAAACTGTGGTTCCCAAAATGACTAGACCAGTTTGCATTTAATGAGAGATCTTGCTAAGGGTTCATTTGGATTTCTTAATTTATGCCATTTCATAGGCGTACAGGTTTATGAATACAAACAATCGCAATGTCACCCATAAATATAGCCAGAATGCTGTCATACCCAAGTCGGGTTTGCTTCCTGCTAATGTATGTATTGTATAAGCAGACAGTTTGTGCCAAGATACTCCCAAGGGTTATGCCTTCAGCAGAATACTTTTGTGGGCTACCAGATCTTCTTGCCTTACAGCCACTATGTAGGAGGATGCTTGAAAGTTGTGACAGCTTCTAAATTACAAGCAAACTGCTGAATCTGCCCTTTGTGGCTGTGATGTGACAAAACTCCCTGTTGCAGACAAGGGAGGAAACTGATGGCAATGCTGAGATTTTCATTAAGTCTTCCACTATGACCATATGCTTTGGCTGAAAATATAAGCTGTTCTTTAGATGTAACTTTAAATTTTAAACTGAAAAATGACCTGACACTTCTGCATGAAGTAGCAAATAAATAGATGACTATTCAACAAGGAATACTGAAAATTAATTTAAATTTAGTTCATGGTTTAAGGCAGTGGTTCTCAACCTGTGGGTCCCCAGATTTTTTGGCCAGTTTACCAGCTGTTAGGATTTCTGGGAGCTGAAGACCAAAACATCTGGGGACCCACAGGTTGAGAGCCACTGGTTTAAGGTCTCTTTCACACTAGATAATTGTACCACTTTGACTACGGACTTGATTGTGGATGGCGTGATTTTAATAACTGTTCTAAAATTGTGTTGTTTATCAGTGGGTTTTAATATAAATGCTATTATATTATTGGTGATTAATTTTATGCTTTATTCCTAATTGTTCTTTTATGTTTATGTTTTAATTTGGTCAGGTTAATTTATAGATAAAGACAAAAGTTTTCCCCTGACATTAAGTCCAGTCATGTCCGACTCTAGGGATTGGTGCTCATCTCCCTTTCTAAGCCAAAGAGCCAGTGTTGTCCATAGACACTTCCAAGGTCATGTGGCCGGCATAACCGCATGGAGTGCTGTTACCTTCCCACTGGAGTGGTACCTATTGCTCTACTCATATTTGCATGTCTTTGAACTGCTAGGTTGGCAGAAGGTGGGGCGAACAGCGGGAACTCATGTTGCTCCCCGGATTTGAACCTGTGACTTTTCAATCAGCAAGTTCAGTGGCTCAGCAGTTTAACCCACTGTACCACCGAGGGCTCCAGGTTAATTCATAATTATGTGTTATTGTCTTGCTATGATCTTTTGGTTTTCACATGTATGTTCAGCATTGAATTTTGTCTTTATAATGTTGGAAACTGCATTGTGTTCCCTTAGGGGGATAAAAGCGGTATATAAATGTAGTAAATAATAAATAAATTTTAAGTGTCATAGCTATCATTCAGTTAAGGGGGAGCCTAGATGATATAGTGGCTGAATTTTGGACAATGGGTGGTCCTACACTGCCAAATAATGTAGTTCCAGAATGCAGTTTAACTTCATTACTTTTTTGTAATGCAATTCAATGCTGTTAAACTGCACCCTGAAACTGCATTGTACAGCAGTGAGACTCTGGAGACTAGGGTTCAATTCTCCACTCAGCAATAGAAAGTAGAAACTCATTGGATGACCTTGGGCAAATCACACACTCTCAGCACCCTTCCTCCCCCCCCCCCAAACCCCTCATGATATGGCCTTAGGGTCACCATGAATGAGAAATGACTTGAAGGTAGAGCAACTAACCCATTAGCACTATGGAGAAACAAACCAAAACAAAGTCTATACCCGATCGGTCGTCACCCAGGGTAAAAAGGACAGTGGTGGATGCTGCTGA